TGAAGTGATGAATTAGTGAGATAACTTGTTAGATGGGTCTGTGCAAAGGTCATTAAGCCTTTGTTTGATCTGTTTGTTTGTTTTCTTTCATAATGAGCTGATAAAATACAGTTTACTGTACAGGAAACATCACCCTGTGAACTTGAGCACCCAAAAGGAGCCTTATCCCATCCCACCCTCTGACAGATGGGCACCCAGCCCTCCCACATCTGTGAGGACCAAGCACCCCACCCTCAGCAGCAGCTGGAAATGGAGTTTATTGGGAAGCGAGGGCAGACCGGGATGCAGAGATGCGGGATGAGGCCAGGTGAGCGTGCTGGCTTCTCTGTGCACAGGCTTCACCCCGACCCCTGGCTGTGGACATCCCACTGTTCCACACCGTGGATGCTGCCCAAAGTAAACCACCACAGGGCCCCTGTGGGTGCCGCAAGCTGGTGCACAGGCAAGAAGTCACCTGCCAAGACCTAAAGCCATGGCTGGGAATTTGAATTACCCAGCTGTTGCCCTCCCCTTGTCCTCAGTCCCGTTCGTCCCAGCTCCTGAAACACCTCTCTGGCCTCCTTCAGCCACTGTCTGCCTCCCACCTTGCTCTGCCCAAGGCCAGAGTGGCTTCTTGTACCAGGGACACACTGGGCATGGCTCTCTGCCATTGAGAAAAAGGTTTATTCAGCTCCATGTGTTGGGGCAGCAGTTTTGGGAAGGGGAACGTGGCCAGCAGGCTGGCACTGGTATGATGCAGGGCTGGGTAAGGGTGTGTTTCCCAGACAGGATGCTGTGGGCAGGTGGAAGCCCAGCACGGGACAGGGACAGCAGAGACCCTCAGAGGATTCAGGTAGCTGCTATCTCCATCCCCATCACTTGATGCGAGTGAAGATGGAGGTGCCGACCCTGCGGGGAAGCCATGTCAGCAGGAGGAGAGGCAGGGCTGTGGGGCAGGAGGACATGGTCAAGGCTCACCTGGTGGCTTTCCAGGTGTCCCTGCGGGATGGGACCTCTTCCCGCAGGAGCCACACAGTCTCCAGCGACTCCTTCCCCCGGCGGTCCACGAAGCACTGGCCCACAAAGGCTGTGGTGGAGTCTGGTGGGGTTGAATTCGGGCAGAAGGGTCTCAGAGGCCCTGGGCCACCTGATCCTGACAGACAGACAGACAGACAGACAGACACACACACACACACACACAGTTTTCTTGCAGTGCCATGGAAAAAGGTGATACTCGGAGGCTTCCCCATCACCTGGACAGATAGTTGGGCACCACCCCTCCTGTGTCCCTTGGACAGGCAAAGGGACACCCCTGTTGCCTCTCCCAGACAGACAGACAGACATCCCT